CACACACCCACACACACACACACGCACATGAACTCACGCGGGCGCCCACCAGTGCACTCGCGCACATATGCACCCACACTACGATGAGCATCAGTCGGAATGGGCCGAAAATGAACGAAAGCTAAAGATACAAACAAACAAATCTTTTTTTTTTTCCCCACCCATTTCCTCCTCCCACCCCTTGCGGTCGACTTGGGACCAGTTCGCTGGCTCCTGGTCGACTCTAACCCATTCTGCTGCAAAGACAACAACTTGTGAGTTCCCTGTTCTGCTGTCTGTGAATTATGGATAAAGAAAACAGTTGCGTATGTGTGCGCCTCCCTGACATGCTGGCTGTGGAGTTCAGAGCATTTAATGACTTTGGCCTGAGACTAATTCCCAATCTTCAAAGTCTCACTCTCTCGACTGTGAAGTGAGCTGCTCTGCGCCATGACTTTGAAGTGGCCTATCACCGTTGATGCGGAAGTCATTATTAAAGTCATATCCAACCAACTATGTGCTTCACCACGCTCGACCCCGATCAAACCTGCTGCTCGATGCTGCTGTTCACATAGCATGATACACACAATAACGTTGCACACCCGTGGCTAGAATTACAGCTGATTTTTGTTCTTACAGGCTTAAGTGCCTCCATGACAGCAATATTGGCATTCATAAACTCGCCATGTAACCTCCATCCATCCATCCATTTTCCAATCCGCTATATCCTCACAAGGGTCGCGGGGGTGCTGAAGCCTATCCCAGCCGTCCTCGGACAGTAGGCAGGGGACACCCTGAACTGGTTACCAGCCAATCGCAGGGCACAGAGAGACAAACAATCCATGTAACCTGTTAGGTGTACTTATTTAAAAACTAAAAGAGTGATGTTAAAAAAAACATCAACATTTGGATTGTTCATTTTAACTATGTAAAGCACTTTGAGGCTGTCATAATCATGCTTTGTTAGTGTCCAGCAGGTGGCAGAGGCGTTCACGATTTTCCTGCTGCGCACCTGTCTGGCATCACAATTATTGGGACTATTTAAGGACCTCATGGACCCACGTCAAGCTGTTGGATAATTTCGCCTTGCTCAAGTCATTGTTCATGTGCATTTCGTCTAGACGCTCTCCTATTACTCTTGTTCCGTTTTGGCTCTTGATTTATATTTTCTCTATTTTTTTGGCTCTTGGCTTTACTTTATGTTCTTTGTTATTCAAGTAAGTAGTTATTGGGGTGTTTTCGACTATCCGCGTTTTGTTCTCCACGTGGTTTGGTCTTTCTTGTACTTTTGTCACAAGTGATTTGTGTTTGTTTTTTTCATTGGTTTGTGCAATCGCTTTTTATCTTCTTCGCATTATTCCCTGCTTGTTGTCCAGTGTCATGATTTGTACTTTGTCGGCCTTGCGCCTACTTTTTGCAAATAAATATTTTTGTTGGATCTACTTCCCTGAGTCTACGTTTGTAGGGTCCAATTCTGTCCAGACGCCCGGCAGAGGCTTCTGTGAAAATTGCTATTTATGTCATACTAACTTACTTAATTACACACCTGAAGGGATTTTTTGTTTGTTTGTTTTTTTTTTGTTTGTTTTTTTTTAATTCATGAACAGACAGCAACACCTTGATTTGCCCTTCGTCATCATGGTAACTAAAATACATGCCTTTGCCCTAGCAGGATATGAGGTGAAATGAACAGTAGCTCACTTTCATGACACAGGTCCATTCCCATGAAAACAAGTTTCATTTTCGATACGCTTTATCCTCACATGGGTCTTCAGGCAGTTGGCAGGGGACACTCTGAACCGGTTGCCAGCCAATCGCAGGGCACACGGAAGAACAACCATCCGTGCTCACACTCACACCTAGGGTCAATTTAGAGTGTTGAATCAGCGTGCCATGCATGTTTTTGGAATGTGGGAGGAAAATGGAGGACCCGGAGAAGACCCACGTAGGCACGGGGAGAACATGCAAACTCCACACAGGAAGGCCGTAGCCAGGATCAAACCTACAACCTCTACACTGTGAGGTCGACACGCTAACCACTAGATCACCGGGCCGCCTGAAAACACGTTAATTTCAGTAAATGGAAACATGTTAATTTCAGTAAATGTAAATTGATTTAACACAAGACTTTTGAAAAGACCTTTCTTTTCGAAAGCTGTGCAGTACCTTTACAACAATTTCTACCACAATCTTATTGGCAAATCTAAAACCTTAGATCATATTTATAATAATGCCAGTAATGACAATCCTATGCAAGGAATTTTCTGACCTGTTTAAAAAAATAAAAAAAGAAAATTGGTACTTAATGCGCATCATCAGCAACACCACTCCCTACTTTCAGGTGTCCTAACTTCACTATAGTGAGGCAAGGAAGTAGTTTGTGCATGCATATTCTTTATGACAAGACGCAAGTTTGACGCTCCCGCTTTGATGTGACAGTTCAATGTTGTGCGGCCCGCGCGAATTTGATGTGGATGCTGTATGTGTTAGCACTACCTCCGTGCTAAATAGTTCGGTCTGTCTCATCCGAAAGGCGACAGCGTGCCCACGGTGCTCCGCACCAGTTTCAAAACACGTGTAAACCACGCATGTAAACAAGCCGCCGCTGGTGCCTTCGGTAGTGCTGCTGAATACACCACATGCCAGTGTGGCTGTCACCATAGTCGGTTGCTCCGAAGCACCAGACCTGACGTTCCACATGAACAAACAAAAACGCGGAAAATAAGTGCTAAGACGCTAACACGGAGCTAGCACTACTACATACACACAAGCGAAGTGTTATGTGTCCGTGTTAGCGTTAGCTCCATGCTAGCCACTAGCCGAATTTATACAACGTTATTAATTTACATATTTATTTCATTTAAGATTAAACGGTGTTAAAGTACAGTATCATCCCTCTCTTCTTAGTTAGATTAGAATTTTATACTAGATGATTTTGTGATCACAATATTGATTGTGATCAAGAGAGGGATTGTTAAAATACGGTATCATTCCTCTCTTTTAGTTAGATTAGAATTTTATAGTAGATGATTTTGTGATCACAATATTGATTGTGATTAAGAGAGGGATTGTTAAAGTACAGTATCATTCCTCTCTTCTTAGTTAGATTTGATTGTTAAAGTATCATTCCTTCTCTTCTGTATTATTCCTCTCTTCTCAAGGTGTTATTCCTCTCTTCTTAAGGTGTTGTTCCTCTCTGTTAGTTGTCTTTTTTTCAGACACTTGAAAGAAACAATGTAGAATGCTGTGGAGGGTGTTTCCTGCTGACTGCGATTACAATCACCTTTGGTACCCCCTCACCCCCACTACTTTTAGGACCCCTCCAGAGGACATGCCAACATCAAAAGAGGAACTGTTATCTCTAGTGTCTGTGTTGCAGCTATTGAGGGACTGCGCCTTACTATGAGTACTATTGATCTCGGTTTCTTTCCTGAACATCTGTTCGCACACTTAAAACAACGTATCTAGGGTAAATTTTATCTTCTTCCTCCTTGGTTGATTAACGGTCCCCCAAGTGTCTTCTGTTGTTCCCCCACATGTTGGGTCGGTCCTTGATTGCTGTTAAGCCCCCCTGGGAAGACCTCTTATCTCAGGATGTATGCACAGCGGGGGTTCTGGAACTTGCCATCACACCAAATGGTGGGTAGTGGTGGTTTGGTCTCACCTCACCACTCCCGACTTCTTCCAGCCACACCAGGTCAGATGACATGTTACTTTCTTTGTTTCCGGGATTTGCATGAGAGGCGTACCTCCCCGCCTCTCATTATCATATTGTCGCTATATAATCTCATGAATGTGTTTCTTCTACGCTTCCTGATTGAAATCCGAACCCCTCAGGAGCCCGAATCGATTTGTAAACTGCAGAAAATAAATTACAACCCTTCGAAAGAACTGTCCATCGCCTCCAGCCTTTATTTGGATTACCAACATTCTCCTCGTCCGAAATTCAACGAACTCGCGGGGAAGAGGAGGCCGTTCTTCCCCCAACAACGGCCAGCATAAACACTGTGTTTCCATAGTTTCCGACCTTCAACCAATCACTAACTGCCATGATCAACGTCATATGCAGGTGCAGGACCCAAAGCCGATCTGGTACAAGCATAAATGACATTCTTTGATGTGTTGATTGATTTTTTTTTGTAGAAAAAAAATTAAGATTTTGAGAACAATGGAATGCTGTATGGTAGAGCAAATACTGTATGGTATAGCAAAAGCAAAAGCATTGTGTTTCCATAGTTTCCGACCTTCAACCAATCACTAACTGCCATGATCAACGTCATATGCAGGTGCAGGACCCAAAGCCGATCTGGTACAAGCATAAATGACATTCTTTGATGTGTTGATTGATTTTTTTTTGTAGAAAAAAAATTAAGATTTTGAGAACAATGGAATGCTGTATGGTAGAGCAAATACTGTATGGTATAGCAAAAGCAAAAGCATTGAGGAATCTATCTATCTATCTATCTATCTATCTATCTATCTATCTATCTATCTATCTATCTATCTATCTATCTATCTATATACATATATATATAAAAAAAAAAAAAAATCCTCGTCTCACCCCTCGGGTGGTGGTGTCCATCCCTCATTCAGCTCGGGTCCTCTACCAGAGGCCAGGAAGCTTGAGGGTTCTGCGCAGTATCCTTGCTGTTCCCAGCACTGCACATTTCTGGACTGAGATGTCCGATGTTGTTCCCGGGATCTGTTGCAACCACTCATCTAGTTTGGG